TGAAAACAAAACTGTTGACTTTTAGAGAGAGTTTTAAAATACAGTACATACAGGAATAGCAAGCACTTTCCTCTGGAGTGATTTTCTGCCCCCATCACTTCAAAGAAAAAAAGCACAGATGACTAAAGCACAAAACCCCCAAAATATTCAATTGAGATGGTATTACATGCTGGTATAAAACAACTATTTGAAAGGTTTGCCTTAGTTCTAAATAAACTTGCTGCAAAACCAATTATACTACAATAGCTTAATCTATGCAATGTCAATGACAAGTTTGAGGGCCTCCCAAGAAGCATCACTATGGTCCAGCAAGCTAACAACATCCTAGTACCATTCAAGAAGGGCAGCACTTTTAGGCTCTCTTTTGTATCAACACAAAGGAAGGTATGGTTCATCAGTCCTCCTTGACAAGTACACGTGTCAGCAGGACAACACCTCACTACAGATGAGTATGTACAGCCAGAGTAGTAGAAAAATCGTATTACAGGTACAACCATGTGTCCTTCTGTTAACATTAGGAATTTTCTGAGGCTAGAGCAACAGAGTTGTCCTAGCTCAGCACTGCCAATGAACACCACACTGAGGGGTGCAGAAGCAGCCCACTGAGCAGCGCACAAGTATCCTGTTTTGGGCTAGGACAGAATTTTCTCCCAGGTAGCTGGTGCAGTGCTGTGTTTGGGCTTTAGTCTGAGAACAGTGCTGATAACACACTGATGGTTTAGTTGTTGCTCAGTAGCACTTACCCTGATCAAGGACTTTTCAGCCTCATGCTCTGCCAGTGAGGAAGGACACAGGAAGCTGGGAGGAAGCAGAGACAGGACCCCTGACCCAAACTAGCCAAAGGGTTATTCCGTACCACAGCACGTCATGCCCAGTATAGAAACTGGGGGAGTTGGCTGGAAAGGACTGATCACTACTTGGGACAGGCTGGTGGTGAGTGGGTCATCGGTCAAGTGGGTGGTGAGCAATTGTATTGTGCATCACTGCTGTTTGTTGGTGGGTTCGGGTTTGTTTGTTTTTTTCTGTAGTTTTCTCTCTCTCTCCTTGCTATTTCCCTTTTGATTAGTAATAGTAATATATTGTACTTTATTTTCATTATTAAGCTGTTCTTATCTCAGTCCATGGGGTTTACTTTTTCCTCCTCCCCATGCCATTAGAAGGGGCAGGGGGCAAGCAGGCATCTGCACAGTACTTGGTTGCCAGCCGAGGTTACATAAGAACAGGCAAACCAGCTGTCCTGAGAGACTGCATGAGAGCAAATTCTTCTACAGACCCCAATGTACACCAAGACCTCTGATGCTGCACTGGCATGGATGCAGCAGACAGCTTCACAAATAGGGTTATGAGAGTTCACCCAGGCTACAGGAGTTAAGGGACATCTTCAGAGCAGACTGATCAACCAGCCCCTTTGCGGCTCTATCTCCCAGGACCTGATTAGATCACTTTAGCCCTGCGTAATCTCACTTCATCTGAAAAAACAAAAAACAAAAAACACTTGCCTAGGAGACTTCTTCACACATTCATTGCCTTCTGCATGAAATACTGCTTCCTGGCATCTGGTCTGAATTTCTGGATGCCTAATTTCCACTGATTCATCCCCATAGCCACACACCCACCCTCCCCTTCAGGACTAAATTGCAAACAGTAACCTGACAGAGGTGGGTATCTCGCTAAAGATTTTATATCCAGACATCCACTATATTCACTTTTTTGTTTTGTTTTCTTTCCACAGACAATTCCCAGACAGTGAAGTTAGGGCTTTCAGTGCCGTTTTGCTGTTGTTGTTGGGTGTCTGGGTAACTTTCTTTTACAGTTCATCCAGTTTTTCTGCTGATATCCATCCACACCATCTAGTAGATTTACACTACATTATTTAAAATATTATAATCTTCCTGCAACTGATACAATGGCACCAAAAGCAAGTGCCTAAATTCGTGCAAACTAAGCTCTGCTTCTTTTCTGAAGTTACAAAACCAAAATATTTTCTTCCAGTGTTTTGAAATATCATAACACAACACTTGCCTGCATTTGTTATTTTGCATTCATTGTTGCGTCAGGTGCAACTGGAAAACCCTCACAGAACCAATTCAGGGTTCATCCCACAGGGCAGCAGGGCATCCTGAACAGCTCCAAAATGTGATTCTTCCTTCATTTGTCTTGTCTGATTACATTCAGAGTCCACTTTGGTTTTGGGTCTACATAAACTTCGTTTTCACGGATAATTTGTGTACCAATAGCTTTTTGGGTTTCATTTGCAAGCATAACAGTAGTATTGTCTTGACAAACCTCTGACAACCTGCGTTGTAGTGTTGTCAGTGTAAGGCCTGAGCTGATTTTTTAACTTGAACACATTTATGACATCTACTTTGTTATGGGGCTTTATGGCTAGACTTGAACATAATAATGCTTTTATGAACACCCATGACCCCAGTAGGCTTTTGAGTAATGGTTAACCATGCTGATGCATTATTCTTTTCCAAAATAACTACAGGCTCTCAGAAGTACAATGTTCTTCGTCCTCATTCACACCCTCTCCATGTGACTATCAGCTGACTAAGTGCTTACACAGTTTGTCTGTGTTTAACTAATGCAAAAATAGTTACACCCCATAAACTGTGGACAGGGTAGTTCTACAGACAATGCAGGGGGTAATGCTTATCTTGGAGATAAAATGTATTTCAATGAGAAGAGATACTTCCAGATCAGGCGGTGCCCATGAATCTCTTTGCACATACACATGGATCTGAATCAGTGCATACGATTACAGCTACAGGTATTCTCAAGGCTGCCTGCAATACCCTTAGATAGTCTTTAGTACATTCTCAGTCCAGAGAATGAATCACCAGGATCATTCCTGCCTCTAAATAATTACCAAATGAAAATATAGATGCCATTACAGGCAATAAAGGCACATACTCGGATCTGAAATGGGATGAATGACACAAGATTACATACAACTTTGCTGTGAGCCCCATGTAAGTAGTCAGAAAAGACTCATAGAAAAAATGTGAATTTAAGCTACTTGCTGGCTTACGAGTTCTCCAAAAAGAAAACATCTTCTTGTAAGAAATAACTGATTATTGCATTTGGTCTTGCTCCCATGCCTTATTTTTCTGTCTTCTGCAATACATGCTAGTAATTCCTTTTCAATTATTCTAAATTCATAAAATATACCAGTATCTTGCTGATAGTTACACTACTATATACTTTTGGCACTCCATATATTAGTCTTTTCAACACTCAACACCCGAATGTCTGAGAATATAAATACCAGTTGAAATCTAGTTTCCTGTTTTTAAAATAATTTTATATGTGTGCCATGTGTTGTCTCCAAAACATGTTTCCTGAATTTTTTACCAGTCTCCAGCATCATTTATATATCACCACTTCTGGAAGCCCTAGATATTTGTAGCACCTACCCAAGAAGATCTGCAAGCTACCAATGTTATCAACAAATGAGACACTTTCCTATGGAAGCTGGCAGAATTCTATACTGCAAGTGCTATTTGGAGAACCAAAGCTACTGCACAAAGATCACTTACATCATCTGGTCTCATAAGTATATCTTTCTGCCAAACTGTTTCCCTTTTACTTCACCTGAAGTAATATAAGTTAGATATAAGGAAGTTCTTCCCTGTGAGGGTGCTGAGGCACTGGCACGGGGTGCCCAGAGAAGCTGTGGCTGCCCCATCCCTGGCAGTGTTCAAGGGCAGGTTGGACAGGGCTTAGAGCTACCTGGTCTAATAAAAGATGTCCCTGCCCATGGCAAGGGGTTGGAACTGGATGATCTTAAGGTCCTTTCCAACCCAAACCATTCTATGATTCTAGACCACCATTACTATGGTACTATTACTAATCATTACTGAATGTACAGAGTTGATGGAAACCTTCAGAAGGTAATAACTTACTTGCAAGCTTAATTACTACTATATGTACTTTGTACATGTAAAAAATAAAACCTATATTTATGAAGGATACCACAACACAGGGATTTCCAAAAGCACAAGTACCATTTTCACTCCAAATGGGAGATGCTCAGCCAAATGATACTCGTATTTACTAGAATTTCCCCAAGTAGCCTGACAAATTTCCAAGTCATTTATTAGGTAAAGGTTCTTCTCTTGGATTTAGTTGTATTTTTTGGCAGCAGTGGGACAAACAAATCCTTGCAGAAGGCCAAACATTAAGTCAACCACACAGGTAGTAGGACTACATCTGTGGTCTCTAGTTCAGTGCTCTAACAAAAACACTACCTTCACAGATAGCAAGTACTAATCAAAAGTTTTAGTTAAAAGCAGGGAATGTTGCCCTTTAGTTGAAAGCAGGGACTATTATCCTATGAGGGTGGTTCTCGTAAAATAAAGCCTTCTAAGACTGCTAGATTTAGGCTGCAACACTGTAAATGATTTTGAAATACTGATCTCACCTTGTGTCAAAGGGACTCAGGTATTCTAAAAACTAACAAAACTTTGGTAACGAAACGGATCTGGATGGAAACTGCCTACAGTAGACACTGAGAATAAGTTAATCATATGCTTACACTTTTCATAATCCAATGCCAAAAGTTTGCCTTTAAACCTCTGTAGCTGTAAAAATTTTATATATATATATATACACACATACATATATACACTAGGTATGTGTATATATGTACACACACAGACATAGCTGTACACATACATATATAGGGGTGTGTGTATTCACTCATATGTTTATTTCTTTTCTGGTAGAGCTGTGTGGTTTGTATTTCACCCACTTAAGTTGCTGGTTTCAACTTGAAACAGGTCCTCCTGTGGGAGGAACAAGAAACTCAACCACTGGTGCAGATGTTTTGACTAGATAGGGACCTGGGTTTTATTAATGGCAAGAACAATACCCTGACAGCTCAGCATCTGATTTAATAAGCATCATCTTCTTAATTAGTTGATACAGCTTTTGTAGTCTCAACCTCAAATGCATGCGGATCAACAGCAAGAAAGGAAGCAAATAAACATGCTTACCTTTTCTTCACATTTCCTGTGGCAGGCATACTTGCAAACTAAAACAAAAGCAAATAAAATATATGAGCACACAGAGTGGGTGAATCTCCTCTCCATTTCCTTATATCAGCTCTCTACTAGGGGGCTGGCTAAACTCAAGTCTGTATATATAAAGTATTTACATACTTCAAAATAAACAATAAAAACCCTAGCATTTAGTTTTTACTCATTCCTGAAAGATTCATTAATTACAGCAGTGTTACCAGATTTGTGCATACCATCAGCTTAGGGTAACATATGCCTAGTTAAATGTCATGGACTGATTATTTTCACACCTACCTTTACAGGTTCACATGCACAAGAAGTGTTACCATCTAAATAACACAGATAGTAAGATCAAAATGTTCCAGATGTAACCTGTGAATCTTAGCCCTATCAGCAGTTCCAAAGACCTAAGAAAAGCAGGGTGACTTCAAACTCACAAGTGACCATGACTGTTCATGCTGGAATTCCTGCTTGTGAAACACATTTTACACAGCCTTGCAAACATTACTTCCAAGAGGTAAGCACTTGATTTCTGTTAAATTCCTGCTGACCTAAGGAAAGGATGAACCACAGCAGCAGGTTTACATTCAGAAAACAGCACTTAATTTAAAGAGCAGCCAGATGAGCAGCAATGTAACTATGATGCAACAGTGTAATAGCTAGGATCTGAGACAGGCTGGGTTTAATAGATTTTCCATTTATATATGCTTCCTTTTTACTCTGAAATTTGCTTTCTTTCCATGAAAAGTCTATCCTTTGAGCTAAACTGTGTTATAAATTCAGGAATAATTTACTTATTCAAGCTCCAAGATCAGTAAGCAATAGAGAATATGCTGGGTTTGGCTGGAATAGAGTTAATTTTCTTCATGTTTGCTAGTATGGGGCAATGTTTTATATTTGTGCTGGAGACAGTGTTGATAATACAGGAATGTTTTAGTTACTGCTGAGCAGTGCTTACACAAAGTCAAGGCCTTTTCTGTTTCTCCACCACCCCACCAGTGAGTAGGCTGGGGATGCACAAAGAGTTGGGAGGGGACACAGCCAGGACCAACTGACCAAAGAGATATCCCATACCATATAGTGTCATGCTCAGCATATAGAGGTGGGGGAAGAAGAAGAAATATAGGGACATTTGAAGTGATGGTGTTTGATCTATCCTTTGCTACTGGCTCATGCAAAACCAAATCACCAATGATACCAACAATACACAAAAATCTTTATTAGAGACATAGATAACACATTAAATGCAGTCATTGAGTATTTTCAGTTTCCATATCTATGAAAAGTCAGTTTGCTGCTCTTGTGTAACACAACAGTGTTGTCTTTACTGGGAAAAAAACACTGATGTGAGACAGAAGTTTAGCCTAGATAGCAACAAGATTGTGTCCTGCAGCAGCATCCCACTGGAACTCATAAGCAACACAGAAATATGGCTTACAAACTCCATACACACTTGAAGGAAGAAGACCTCACAAACAAAACACTGCTGTATTTATGAGATTCAAAGGGAACAGACTAAAGCCTCCAAAAGTAACTAGCCAAATACACATCAGGCAAAGTTCTCTGACTGAAATAAACCATTAATTTTTTTAGGTATCCGTAACACTATGAATGTATCAGATCTCAATCCTCAGAAAGACAGCTTCACTCATCCTCAGCATCCAGAAATACCCTATTCATATCTAAATCCAGTACTTTCATGGATTAGACTGAGTTAAGGCATTACCTTCTCTCCCCTCCCCTCAGTGTACAATAAAGCTGATTATGATAATAAAACTGGGAAAAAATATGCACTCTGAAATGAGATCACTGACTGTCCAGATGCTGGGAGCAAACAAAGCATTCCTTTGTACTCAGAAGCAGAAAGGAGATTCTCCCCCTTCCCTCTTGGGTGAACATCAAACTGCTCATTGCGTATGTTGCTCCTAGAAGGCATACCAGCTACATCCAACACAGAGCTGGATCCCCATCATAACAGATCCAAACACCAATTCCCTTTTCTTGACAGGTCTGAATTCTACTAGTAGACCAAAATCTCAATTAAGAACAACTAAACTTAAATGACTGAACCCATTTTGACTGTTCTTGGCATTTACTAGATGCTGAAGTGTTCAAAGCATTTTGTGTAATATACATATGTCCCATTGAGGTACAGCAGATGTCACAAGTTCTCCTTTGCTGGCAAGGTCTTTTTACATATATAAACACCTATGTAAATATATGCATATAAACATTTATAAATATATATATACACATGGGCCTTTCCAATCCTAACTATTCTATAATTTTACGTGTGAACATATGTACACATAGGCATGCACATGTACACATACATATACACACACTCCAAAACCCACAAAAGTCTTGTTTGTAGTAAACACGTTTGTACTGAGACAAACTAAAAAATAAAAAGGCACAGAGAAAAAGGCTATTAGCACAGAACGTTGCTTAGGAATTAACAACACCTGATTGGAAGAAAGAAAGTACAACTTGGATCACCAACCCATAGCCAGTTATCAATATCTAGATGGTAATTCCTACCAACGATTCTATTGCTAGTGTGGTCAAGTCATGAGAATAAACTTATAAACTTCAAGGTTTTTAAAGTACAGATAGAGATAAATCAAGAGTACTTTTCAACTAATTTGCCTCTATTTCCCACACCCATCATCCATTCTCCAGAAGGGAGAGGAAAAAAGTAAAATCTGTATGTGTACACCGGGGGGGGGGGGGGGGGGGGGGGGGGGAATTATCAGCAGCAACTGAAAGAAAGGGAGGCATCCAAAAAATACCATGAATTGAGTATGAGGAAGCATGCAGGCACATAAGAAAGGGTGAACAGAGCAAAGGCCATTCGGCAGCAGCTACAACTCTCCAAGTATCCAAGCACAGAGGAGTTAGAGGAGAGAAGCACCAGTGCCTTTCCAGGCACATCCTTTTCCAATGCAATTCATACGGTTTTCTCCACTAGAGCCACTAACACTATGAACAGTGAGAGATCCCTTCACCCAACACCAACCAGCAAATTAACCACTCACCCACAGAGAAAAATCTATTTATTTCATATTTCATTACTGTGAATTCATCTTACCACAGCTAATGCTACTGCTTCACAGAATTATCCTGCTTGGATGGTCACACCCCCTCAGTCCAAGGCTGGTTTTGCCTGCCTAACCACTCACAGTACTGTGAAGAGATGGATTACCTCGATCATTTGATTGTCAGAAACTGAATCACTTTTCAATATGCCAGCTCTTTGTATGGAAAACTTTGAGTAGTAGAGAGATCATAAAGTTTCTAATGCCAAAAAAAGCAGTATTCTACCAAAATCATGCAGTCTGTGCCTTTTCAGTGCAACAAACATGTAACGAAAAAAACACAGAAACAACATACTCACAGAACATCAATTACAAAGGAAAATACATGCAACTTACAGTTAAAAGATCTCAACAAGCAGCTTCTACCAAATGTTGGCATTCTTCAGGCAAAGCTTACAAGGGAAATAGCACTCAGCTCTTTTCAAGACTACAGCCCAAGTGGATCTGAATTTAAAAATGCGCCTGAAACAGTCCAGAGGACTTAATCAATGTCACACTCAGCAAGGCTACTTCAGTTCTTCAAGTGAACAGCTGAATGTCTGCATCCCACACATCAGCTCTCGTCAAATACCAGACTTTCCAAATTTGTGTTTAAGGATTCTGGCATCACTTCCAAGAACAACTGTCCCAAGCTGGCTGGTAATGAAATGGAGCCCAGGCCATATTTAGTCAATTTGCTACACATCAAAACAGTTCCTAAACAATAGCTCTGAGAATCCAGTTTGTTAAAGTGGGAGAAAGATGGGAGGAGGGAAAATAAAAATAAAAGATTGCTTTGTATAAATAGGCAGGGGTATTAACTCCTTCAAGTTAACAATACTGATGCCCGTGCACAGGCAGAAGGGTAAGCACAGCAGAACATGTTTCAGGTTTACGCTCCAAAAACTTTTATGAAAGAAAAGTTCTATTTTTTACATTCATGCTCTTTGAAAACCAGAAGCAATGTATTTACAAAGTAAAGAGACTACTTCTGTAAACCAACCACGGAATGATTCCTGGTTTACCAGGACAAAAAGGTTACGCTCTCCTCTGTGTGATAACAGCTACTCACCTTGTCACATTTTAGCATTTAATGGATGTATGGTATAGCAATATAGTGCATATATTCCAGACAAACATCCTGCAGTGCATATTAAAACATGACTAGTTTATAAGGCCAACCTCACACTTAACTATGGCTTTTATCACGTGGTTTTCCATGGTGGGGTGTTATGTGTTTGTTTTAAACAACTCTGTGTAAGGCATGGGTACAATCAACATAATTCAGAAGTTCTCTTGGGGCAGAAACTGCATAAAATACAGACTCTAAAGGATGTACCTCAGTTTAACAGCTCACTAATCCTCAAGAAATGTCACTTGCCCCAAAATCATGTATTAGACGGCTCTTGATGTTAACTTTTAACTTCTTATGATAAATTATGATACCAAATTGTAATTCATACAGTACAGGCCTAACTGCTTGAAAGATCATTTCTTTCCCTCAGCATCTCCAACTCAGGTTCCCCAAAACAGACACATACTATTACAGCTATTTTCTGACAGGAAGGGAAGAGTCCTTGATGATCCACCACAAAAACTAATCTAAACAAAGCATATAAAGATTTGCATAATCAAGATAAGGGCGGTGTGTGTGTAATCATTTGTCTAATCAAACTTTGTTTTTGTGGTTCCCAATTCCAGTCTTTTCTCCGAAGGTGGGTGTCAAGAGTGCCACAGAAGCAGTAAAGCCCAGCCATTTTAGTAGCAAGCCTGGTGATACCACTACTGAGTAACATCTCCTTCCTGCAAGGAATGTTTTGCACAAAACCCCAGCTCCGTCACTGGCTCTGAAGATGTGCTGGCATGTCAAGGCCACCACAACAGGGTCTTCTGCAGACAGAGCTTGGTACAGAAAGACATCCATGACCAAAATGTCC